GCGCCCAGGTGGCTCCGGCGTTGCCGGGAGCTGCGGAGCATCCCCGGGCTCGGTCGCCTGTTGCTAGTCCTCTGGCTAAAGCGCCTGAGGCTGCGGGAGCCTCTCGGAGGAGCCTTCCCCCTCCCCGAGCCCGAGAGTCGGGTTATAGCCCAGCCACGCGCACTTACCTCCGCACCGTTCCCGGGAAGACTGGCTGGAGGAGACCCGACTGCGCCGAAAGTTGGTCCCCCCTCCCTGCGCCCTGCGCAGCAGCAGCAGCCCTCCCGAGACGAGGCTGGGACTGGGGAGTCACGCTGAGCCCCGGTTCCCTCCCCTGAAGTCGGGGCCGCTGAGGGCACTGGTCAGGCAGGACGGCCAGACGGGGGAGGCCAGGTGGGAACTGGGGCCAGGGCGCGGGCGGGGCGCCCCTCTCAGCCCCGCGGCCCTGCTGGGAGCCGAGGGACAGCCCTGGGAGCCCGAGACGGGGATGGGCCCAAGCTGCAGCTGGAGCGCTCACGCCTGGAAGCTAGAAGGGCTTTTGAATTTTAAAAGCTTTACTTGGGTTGTCACGTCAGCCTTCAATGGCGACGGCAATAGTTCTTTCCCAGAAATTTAAAAAAAAAGTGTAAGAAAGAAGGGAAGAAAAAAGCTTGAACAATAGGCTCTCGCCTGGGTCCATCCCAAGAGGGAAATGTTGCAGAAACCAGAAACTTGTCCTTATGGGGGTGAGGGGGGGCGCGGAGAAAACCCCTCACCCTCAGCATTCATCAGCGATTACTGACGCGCGCAGGTCTGGCGCGGAATGAATGCAGTGTCTTTATCAATATGGGAAGGAAACGCTGAGATGTAAATGTTTCCCAGCACGCCTATACTTAAAGGGGACGTGATAACCGCAACTGTCCGTTAAGCCCACAAACATGTCCATAAAAGAAAAAAAAAAACCCCAACACTGAACACTGACCTATTACATGCTTATTAAAAACGGAGTCTGGGGCCGAGCAAGTGTGGAGCGGAGCAGTCCCATTTCCCACGTAAGCTCTGTCCCTGAATCGCGGTGCCTGAGAGCCGGGATGACCAATGCCTTCCTCGGGGAGCTCTCTTCCCCTCTAAATGAACACCCCGCGTCCAGTTAACTGTTGGCCGGCGAAACTCACAAAATCAGAAATGCACTCCCCAGCACGACCCCAGAATGGGAAGACAGTGCCCGAAATACTGTGCTCCCGTGGGATGTGGGCTATGGTAAGACACACACACACACACACACACAAATGGTGCACCGGAGACTCACGCTCCTTACCATATAGTGGCTCTGAGCGCCCAGTGTCCTGCTAGACCCATAAAAGCACACTTCACACGAGTCCTCCCTCGGTCACGGAACCGGCTGCAGTGAACACGCGCTGACCCCGACCACCTTCTGAGGCTCCAGGGCTCGCGAGCGTCCCCAGACCCGGCGGCTGCCTCGGGGTCCCTCTTAAGCTCGCTCTTGGAGAAGCCTAAAATGTGACCTTTCCAGCGGTGCGAGCGTGTGCGCCAAGGAGCGCGAACGGGAGGCGGGGAGGGCGGTCGGTGTCCCCTCCAGCCCGCAGCGGCGATGGGCATGGAAATGGAAATAAACACACGACGTGAAAGATGGAGAGGTGATTCATCGCCCGGGCTCTGGCTCTGCAGGGCTGCCACTGCCCACCGATGAAGCGTGGGCACAGAGGTCCCCGAGTTCTGGAAGTCACAAAAACGTAAAAAAAAANNNAAGTTAAAAAAAAAAAAAAAAAAAAAAAAAAAAAAAAAAAAGCACTTTTCCGAACCACCATAGCCTATTTAAAAAAATTAATAGTAATAACAGCAGCGACGGGTCTCTCGTAAGGTGCACAGAGAATGAACTTACCAGGGGAAACCGCAGGAAGCAGGATGACAGTGAGAGAAAATACATCCGGAATTCAGGCGGATTCTCCATGATCCCCCAGATCCAGGCGAAGTCGTGAGCTGCGGGGCGGAGGGACTGTGAAATGATGGGCACTTCCGAGCGAAGCCCAGGCAGGCGGGGAGCCAAGAGCCCCCAGGCAGGGGAGTAACATGTGGAGGAGGCGCCTTTTATTTCGGGGGGGGCGCTGGGTGGATAGAGCGCATATATATATACAGATATATATATGTGTGTGACGGTCCTTGGGCAGACAAAATGACAATCCAGGGGCTCCCCTGCCCTGACAGTGAGAAGCTGAAGCCCGGCCGCCCGAGAACAGCAGGCGGCGCGCGGTGAACCCGCAGAGGGGCGGGTGCGTCGGCGACGCGGCTGAGCCGAGGCTGAGCCAGGCTGCGG